GTGCATCTCTGACAGCATGTTGAAGCCTTGAGGTCCAGGGACTAGTTTTAAGAAAACCTTGAAAGGTAACTAAAAAAGGCAAGTCAGCTATCCAGAGGCTTGTTTGTTCGACATAAGCTTGCACCACAATTCAAAACTGCTTAGTAATCTGCAAATTGAAAAATGTACTTTTACATATGTATATGGAAATAGGGTAAGCCTTTAGAATATTAGTAATTTCATTCAATATTTGAAAGTGTGTAGATTTGTACATAAAGGAGTATATTAATTAACTACAAATGTGATAGTCAAAAGATATTCTAGATGGAAAGGTGTTAAATGAATTACAATGTACAAGTTGCTGGTTGTGTATTTCATGGATTTCCTTTATTTGCATGTAAGACACCTCTTCTTGAAGGCTCATGCAGTCTTCTGGACACAAAATTATTTGTGCTGCTTTTTCTGTTCATACAATATATGTTAGAAGTTGGATGAAATTAGTTTACTGAAGCACTTTAACTATAATTTTTCTAGTAAGGGTGGTGGTAAATAGGCAGATTGGTTTAGCAAGGAAGCGTAACCCAGAATAGGATGGTTTTGCAGAGATCTCATTCCATGAAATGCAGATTTTCCTGAGCTCCAGTTAGGGTTGAGTGTTTTGCAATGATTAGCATTGGTAAGAGCACAAGTGAGTTTCATCTTTGTATTCACACAAGTGTAATTGATATGAGGTGCTACCAAAAATGTCTTGAAACCCTTCCAGACAAGCTGTTCTAATTAGCTGAAAGTTATCAATTCTGTTGGAATTTTTAACAGAAAAGGACTTTGGTCCTCATCTAGAGTAGTTAGGTGCACACACACCACCACAGTATGAGGCTTCTGAATGCTTTTTGCTCCGTGCTGAGGTGCAGTGCAAGGCTATTTTAAAAGAGGTTCTGTAAGTGCGTTGGTCATTTTTTTATTTCAATCTTTACAATTAGTTTTGCATTTTAACACTTCTGCTACTGGGTAAATGTAAATGTCACAAATTATAGTGTGGAAAACAAATAGAAAACGCCTTCCAAAAAGTTGATTTAAAGATTTTAATTACCGTCCTGAACTTTGGCCATAGGTGGCATAGTGTATAAATCCTATCCAAAATAATAAAGAACACAGTTATGGCTCTCAATAACCGCAGTCAACACTATGAGTCATTTCCAGCTGTCTTCTCCAGACACGAAGGCATTTGAACAATAGCAGCTGACCATGTGGCTGTCTTTAAAACCATATTCAGTAAATCAGTTGGAGGAACTGTGTGTTCACAGTTAAAGGATGGGGATTGCTGGAAGCAGCGCAGTGCATGCTTTACAAGCAGAAGGTCATAGCTAAATAGAAAATACATCCTACAAATCCCTGCTAACATCTTTCATCTGTGTAATAACATATCCAAGACCCAAATCTTCAATTCTGTTGTTTGATTTCATTTTAGAATAAGCACAGATTAGAGATTTTAAAGTCAATCAGTATTTGTTTCAGTATCTGGACAACTAACATTATGAAAAATGGCTGGGAAATATTACATGTGATGACTCCATTATGTGCACTTAGTAATTCATAGTCTCATGCCACCTATTAGAAACCTTGCCATAATATATTATATGCTGGAAAAGGAAAAGATAGGTAAGGGGCCATCCATTATTAAAATACCATTGCTATTTGTGCCACATTTACCTGTAGACATGTTCTGTAAGAGCCTGGAAAATGGGATTGCCTATTAACAAGAAAGAGTAGCCAAGACATATAAAATATTTTTATAGATAAATACATTAGACATGTATGAAACAGAAAACTGAACTATGCTTTTGTTTAGCAGGGTTGTGCATCAAAAAATAAGACCATTTCTTACTGTAGCGGTCCAACAATGCAAACAGTTTGAGAGTTCTTTTTTTCATGTAATCGTTGTGCTAAATAGTGCTTGCACATATTTAGTTTGGTGGTTTTAAGACTACATTTCTCCCCTAATTGTGACTTTAATGTATCAGAGAAGTTCTAAAACTGGGTATGAGAGGAGGGCTCTCCATAAACTTGCTTTCCTTTTTGATTTGACAAAAGATTTGACTCAAGATTTTAAAGACCCATAAAAATGAGGAAATTCAGAAAGCACGATTAAAATTTCACCATCTGCTCACTCTAAAGCATCAAGGAGAAGGGGGAGGTTTACCTTGTGCACAACTATTATAGTCTGAATTGCAGTAACAAATGAGTGGATATGGAATAGGCACAGCACCCTCCTCTCTCATTCAAGATACTGATTCAAGTGAAACTCTGGAAAGGGTGAACTATGAAGGAAAAAAACTGCATTGAGAACCTCAGGTTGACATTTTCCTCTTTTGTGCCATTGTATCCCTCTGCAACTGTTTTAATGGTTTCTCACTGCATTTGATGATGCTGTATTACCTTGTATGGGCCACATGTGAGTAATCTGAGGCGGAAAGGAACCTGTTTTTCCCCATCTGTTTTGGCTTGCATGTGTTGGTGCTGCTGTTAATAACGACAGCTGTGTTAATATGCGAGGCCACCTGCCACATGGTAGATACTGCATCTTTGGGTAAAAGCCTAACTTTTCTCCCTTTGTGGAAGGTGTGGATTGCTGAAACTGGGTGTCTGTTGGCAACTCTGCTGGTGGTTCACATTTTATTATTTTGGATGTGTCAGAATTATTTACTCTTAAGTCATGTGGCACTCAGTTACTCCAGGGTAAGGAAAAAGAAAGGAATTATCTAACCTGGGCCATGTTCATCTTTGATATAGTTTCACTACTTTGATCAGACACTGCTTATGTGCCTCCAGCAGAACTGTCATGTGATACGTTTCTATATTAGTTGCTCTGAAGAAAGGAGAAACAGATTTGAGCACAAAATGTTACTGTTTGGGATTAGCATTTCTGATTAGTTTGGCTCTTTGTTCTTGGACAAGCACAGCCCTGATAATGCTTCATGCTGCACTGGGGTGCCCCTCCAGGCGCCTCGCTGGTAGAGTGTGGACATATTTTGGATGCAGCTATGTGTTTTGACTGCCTCTGTCTCTGTGTGCAAACCACTCACCGTATTATACTAACTACATCCTGAGGTGGTTATGAGGATTAATTAATGCTTAAATCCTTTGAAGATACCGGATGCTTTATAAATGCTAATTATTATATTCATGTTTGCTACAGTTTAGGGATTAGACCTTACTTAAGCAATAGGTAGGGAAGCTGTGAGATGTATGTGGCAAAGAAGCATTAAAAGTAATAAACAGTCACTGAGAGCCTAAGCCTCTCTGCAGCTTGTTTGTGCAGTCCCAATAAATTGCCACTCTTCTAATTTGGTTTTGGAGCCTTAATTACTGTTGTTTTGAATGTCAGAGGGAGTGTCTTCTCTATAATGTTTCATAGGCGCTGCTGTTAAATTTTCCCTGTTAAATTTAACCCTGATTTGCCATTTCCCTGAGAATGGGCAACTGTGTAGGTACTCTCAAAATGTGTTGTTTTGTGTTTTGTTTTGTGTTTTGTTTAGGTTTTTTTTGTTGTTGTTTTTTTTTTTTTTTCCCTGCACTGTTGTGGAATTAAACATTTTGTGGTCTTGTGCTGTGTTTGGGACATCTGCACCGCTGAGAGAATGGTCTGCTTCTTGTGTGGACACTGGAAATTAGGCATGACCTTGTGTAGTAAGTGCTGGTCACCTGAATAAGGTTTGTGACTGGTAATTATACCATGATAAAGCTACATTGTGCAACCTATAAAACAACCAGCTAGTCCCAACTCAGACTGTCCAGTAAAGATTTAAGTACACGTCCAATATCCACCGGTGTCTGTGTTTTTAAAATCTACATCAAAGCTGTATGAGACCCGGACGATACAAAGGGGAGCTGTCTGTGCATTTCTTAAAGATTTTGCTCATAGCTGAGGCAGTGGAAAGTAGACAGAAAAGTAGCCAGTAGTTTATTTCCAGGCTGTTTTATTGCTGCTGCTCTGCAGATGGGCCTAGGGTACCAGTTCCGTATCCACCCCAAGTTGCAGCCACAGCAGGCCGATACTATGGCACAGCAGTAAAGAATATAGGCAGAGAGGCCTTGGGTATAGAAGGGATTGAGGTGATCGAATGGAAAAAAGTCTTATAGAAAAGAGGTGAGCACTGGCACACGTTGTCCAGAGGGACTGTGGAGTCTCCATCCTTGGAGATAATCCAAAAGCTGTCTGGACACGGTCCTGGGCAACCTGCTCTGGGTGGCCCTGCTCGAACAGGGGGCTTGGGCCAGGTGACTTCCCGGGGGTCCCTGACCACCACAGCCACTCTGTGATTCCGTGAGATAGCACGATGCAAAAAGGGGCTGATGAGAAGGTGTGAAGTGTAGGTAGTCACAAAGAACAGCAGAGATGCTCATCAGTATGAGAAAGAGGAAATTGTGGTTCTGAATTTAAAATCCTAACATCAAGGCGAGTCTATTTTACCAGCAATTCATGCTCACTGCATATATGGCATACATGTTTTGTGGCAGCCGGACAGTGCCTGCCCCAGGACGGTGTGTAGCCAGGTACTGGCTTCGCAGTGACAAACACCACGCGTAGCATCTCCAAGTTGGCACAAGTTACGGAACAGCAGGCTTAGCGCTGGTGTTTGCCGTCAGGCAGGAGCATGCACTCTCAAGGCCGTCAGTCCTTTTTCTTACAGCGTTAAGGTTCACTTCAGATCTTTTTTTTTCCTCTTTGTTCGCTCTTCATCACGCCCCACCAACTTAAACCCACCACCGCACAGCCCCCCCCCCAACGCCCCTCCCCGGCGGCCTGGGCCGGGGCTGCCCTCGCCCGTCTGCAGGCGGCGGAGCCCAGCCGCCGGCAAGGAGAGCGGTCGAACACCTTCCCCCTGCCCCAGCCGTCCCCTCCCGCCGCGCCGGAACCGGCCTCCCGCCCTCCGCCAGCCTCGGCCCCGGGCCGCGGCCGCCCGGCCGGCGAGAAGGGGCGGGCGGAGCGGCGGCTCCACCCCCCCCCCCCCCGGCGGGGGAGGAAGGAGGTGTTTGCCGCCGCTGCCTCCCGCCGCGGCGGGGACTCGGTGCCGGGCGGCTGCTGGCGGCGCCTCCCGTCCCGTCCCCTCAGCGTCCCGTCCCGGCGGCGGCGATGTCCGGCGGGGGCAGCCGGCGGCGGGCCGGCTCTTCCTGGCACAGCACCTTCTCCCGCTTCTTCGTCAGGAGCCCACCCGGCGAGGGAGCGGCGGCGCCGGGGCGGCCGGCGGGCGCGAACAGGTACGTGGGGGGGGCGAGGGGACCGGCGCCCGCTGCCCGCCCCCGGCCCCGGCCGGGGACCGCCGCTCTGAGCCGCCGGGGCGGGGGACGCGGGGCCGCGCCGGCCGCCCCGGCAGATGTTGCGACACCAGCGGGTGAGGGAGGGAGAAGGAACGGGTGTGTTCGCTGCGGGGGGCGGGAGGGGGGGCTGCCCGGACGTCCCGGGGGCTGCGGCCCCGGCGGTGAGGGGCCGCGCGGCGCCTCGGCCGGCCGCGGGCCTGGGAGCGGCCCCCGCGGCGGGAGCTTCTCAGACGGAGCTGGGAGCCGGGGGCCCCGTTGTCAGCCCGGCTGCTGGCGTCGTCCGAGCTCCTGGTTCCGGCCGCCGTGGTTTTAATTTAACGCGAGGTGCGGGACGGTGCGAGGCAGGTCCCCGGCGTGAGGCCGGAGCCCCGCGGGGACAACCGGGGTCCGCGGGGAAGAGCCGGCGCCGGGGCCGCCGCTGTGCCCGGCGGGGCGGGGCGGGGCGGGGGGGGGGGCTGCCTCGCCCCCTCGTCCCGCAGGTTGCAGCCCCTTCCTTGGAAACTGAAAGCAGGGCAGAGGGCTCCGAGGGGTTTGAGGTCTTTCTGTGTGTTTTGTTGTGGGGTTTTTTTTTTTGTTTGTTTGTTTTGTTTTGTTTCTTTCTTTTCAGTGTTCACGCTAAAGAGTTTTCTTTTTGACTGGTGTAAATCAGATGTTAATGCAATATAAATATTACTGATGTGTTTAGGTCTAAATGCAAAATTTGTGGTTTATGGAAATCTGGTTATTAATAATTATTTTTTTTTTAGTGCAGGGAGACTTCACAAGATGAAAAGGTTCGGAAACTTCTTGTGTGTTTCTTCCTCTTCTTTTTTTGTCTTTTTTTTTTTTTTCTGGTGGCTGATTTCTGTGTGTGCATAGGAAAGAAGCGCAGATAAGTTTTTCCTTCTGTTTCTCATGCAGCCCTATTATTGGCCCTAGTTAATTAGGATATTTTTTTGGGGTGCAAAGGTGCCAGCTGGCTAGACCTTATTTCCTCAGGTGTAGTATTTATTTTTTGCTTTTAAGGTGTTGATTTTAATCTTTGAGTCATTCTTGATACTGCGTAGGTTTGTGTTTAAACCAGCAGACAAGTAAGTACAGTTTAATCAGTGACTATCTGAAAAACTTTAGGATCTTGCTCTGCATGTTCTCAGCAATCATGAAAAATAGCAGAGCGTATTGCTATCTTACACTGACCATCTTAAATGGTCTCATAAATGCATCCTGAAGATTTTTAACTTTGGGGGTTTCGTTTTACTGTAAGAATTTGATTCACCAGTACATTAACAAGGATCCACCAGCCTTTCACGTACATGAAATGTTACTTTATATTTCCTGGGGGGTAAAAAAAAAAAAAGAAGAAACCAAAAAAAACCCCAGGAGCAAGGCTGCTTAATCAAGGGCATCTTTACAATTGCAGGAGTAGCATGGCTATTACATCTGGCAGGCATGGTTAAGACAGGGGAGAAGGAAAAGGCTTGGATCTGGTTGAGGACCTGAGGAGGATAGAGGAGAGGTTTCATCGGACAACTCCTTGCCAGGTCCCTACAGCTGCGGTTTGGAATAAACAAAAAAGCATAGCGGTTGCCTTGGAGAGGAGGAGGGTGATGCCAGTTCAGTGGTTTGTGCGCTAACCAGCCTATCTGTAGGTACCACTCATTGTAGACCTGTTCCACTTAACTTGGGGCTGGAGCCTGTTTATCTAAATCACAGTTTCATTTCCTGCAGCCAGGCGCTTAGCTTTTATTAGGATGCCGGGATAATCTGTGTGGGTATGAAACAAGGCTCGGGCCTCTTGGCCTTGTCCTTGAACAGGCCTTGAACTGGCCTTGCGCAGTGAGCTGGAGGGTGGTAGCCCTGATTCCTCTGGAGTGAGAGCAAGCAAAACCCCTCCTGCTCTGAGGAGTCCAATTCGGTATGTTAAGGAGCTTTTTTTTTTTGTTGCACTGGGATGCAGCGTGGCACGTTCGTCAGGAATGCTGACGTTCTCGTATTTGGTTTCCACTGGCAGCCTTCTTCACAGATTAGTGTAATTGCATACATTAAACAGCGCTGGGTTGGGATGAGTGCCGCAGGTTTGCTCGTCATGTTTATTTAGTGAGCTTAATGGCATAGAAAAATGGATCACCGAACAAAGGGTGCATGTGGGGAGGGGGAACCAAGGCAGCTTTGTGTATTTATTGTTAAGGTGTGGAGTGCACGAGGCAAGTTGGGGAATATGTCTTTTGTGAAGTTGTGAGAAATGTATACACCAGGATGGTTAATTTCCTGTTCACGTTAATGGTACGATATACATTGGAACCACATCAAATTTGAAACTTTAGTATGGAGATATTTTACCTACTGTTTGGTTTCAAAAAAGGAGAACACCTGAAGAGAGGGGGCAGTATATCATACCAAGCCAAACACACTTGCAGTGTACCTGCATTGACCTCTGGAGATGTGCATCATGTTTAATGCCTGTGCAGAACATGACTGTTTCCTAAATTTTAAAAATGTGCAGAAATGGGCATGCGTATGTCCAAAAGTCATTCTCCATCTGCTCCCGCAAATTAGGCAACAGTGGCTGGATGGAATCTCTCAGCTTTCCTTCCCCTGGCCCCATAGCTGCCCCTCAGCTCTGCAGGGTCTGGAGCTCTTGCCCGCTCTTGTTCCAGGCACTGTGTTCAGACTTAGCTTTAAAAAACAAAAACAAAAAAAACACAAACAAACAAAAAAACACAACACCCAAAACCAAAAAAAAAAAAAAAAACCCAACCAAAACAAAAAAAAAAGCCCAAATCCACTGTGGCCCTGGTTTAAAACAGGAGGAAGAGGAGGGATAAATTTTGTTTGGTAATCAGTGTCTTAAACTCTTCTGAGAGCCTCATTTGATGAAGAGCTTATGTTAATAACTTGCCCTTACAGCAATTTGTAGCTCTGATGAACATGAGAATTGATGGAGGCTTGTTTGCTCATGGAAAAAATAACCTGTGCAGATTAGTTGCAGGTTTCGTGGCAGCAAAAAGTACAGCACATGCATTAAGGGCTTACTTGGCTTTTACATAAAATGTAGAAAAACATGAGGTATCTTATCCCAAGTCCTTGCCTGAATAAGGGTGTTCTTCAGAGCTGGGACTGCTTTGAACAAGAGCTTCAGTGCTTTTCATCCCACTTCTTTATCATTAACTTCCATCAAATGCAGTCATTATGCTCTACTCAGCTATTTGCTATTTTCAATAATACGGAATTGATTATTTGTTACCATAGTGTTTATCCTGGAGCAGTCTAAATCCCCAGGGTGAAAAAAATCCACTTGAATTTTAACTAATCTAATGGGAGTCTAATTTTTTTTTTCTTTTAAATATGTGTTTCTTTAGTCCATCTGGATGAAGATACAGCTTTCCCAGTGTAAGTCAATCCACTCTGGATTCTTTCAGAAATATGCAGCTTCTGTGGCTGAGCAGTTGTGTTGCAAATAAATATGACCTTTCGGGTCATGTTAGAAGCTGCCAAGGAGGTGTGACGCTTTTTACTGATCACTTTAACCCAGAGCTACCACGAAAATGCCCTTTAAACTGTGGATGCATTTTACTAGTTATTCTGTGTATTGTTTAGCAAGCTCATTCCAGGTTTATCTTTTTCCCTCCAAGTGTTGTTTATTGGTTGGTCAAATAACTACCAGTACAAGCGGGCCTTTGTCAGGTATGTCCAGATACTACTTCTGCGTTCGCTGAGGTGTACCAGAGACATGAAACAGGGAAGAGCAACCTTTTATTTGCTTTTATAGGGCTTTTTTTTTTTTTTCTAGTTAGTTTCTAACTAACTGCTTTCAGAGATGGAAGAACTTTGTTTATTCTGCCTGAGGAGAGATTAGAGAGTCTCTTTCTTCCTCTGGGACTGCCAGTCATTGTTCCTGTTTACAAAGAACATGTATTTTTGTCGCTGTAAAAACTGTGCTTTTGAGGACTGCTAGGAATTGATTGAAAGGGGAGTAATACATTTTGGACTTATTTTTTCTGAAGCTACTACATTCTGGCTGGTTTTGATTCAGGTACCTTTAGCATCTTTGAAGAAATCCATTGTGTGCTGGAAAAATCAGCCTCTGCTTTCTAATAGAGAAACTTTTTCTTTCAAAAGGCAGAGCAGGATTTTTTTGTCATTGTTAATTTAAACTTGTTTGTGAGTATACATCAGGGATGATGGTTTGTGGAACCAGCAAGGGGAATACTTCAACCGTGTAGAAGAATTCAAATTAGACTTACCTAAACAAGATGCATTATGAAAATTTTCTGCTAATTTTTGTTTGTTTCTTTCTTTCTTTTTGGTTCCTAGATTTTTTTTCTATTATGACTTTTATTGCAGATTAATTCAAAATAGTCGCAAAGGCCTTGATTCAGCAGGGTACCAAAGTAGTTGCCTATAATTAAATAGGTAGATAGTTCTATGCACTAGAGTGGGACTACTTGTTTGATTAGAATTAGGTGCATGCCTAGAAGTCTCATGGGGCTGAGACCAGAAGGAGCAAGCCCAGCAGCTGGCCATGTATGTGTGAGACATTTCCTAAAGGAAATGTTACTAGAGTATTAATTATAATAGTAGGACTCCTTGGAAGAAACAAAGCGATATATTTTTTTCCACCATTTCAAATGTTAACAGCATTGTCCCCTTTCCAATTATTGGCACAAGTGCTAGAGTTAATACAAAATATTTCCAAAACAGCTGCAAGTGTATGGTTTTAAGGACAAGTTTTGCAAAGATGAAAACCCCTCAGTCTTCTCCTCTGGTAAACAGAAGTCTCACAGGTGGGGGAAAAAAGCAAGAATCAAACCCATGTTTCTGTGGGGATTGTGTTTCTGATTATTGGAGCTTCTTAAAATATGGAAACCCAACTATTGCTTTTATTTTCTGAGGAGTTTTTGGATTTCGTACAATTCAGTTAGTATATACTATTATACCTACAGACAGTAGCACAGCACTAT